AGAAACACAGTTAAGCAGTGAGTACAGTATGTTATTCTTCTTTTCTCTAGTCCTCAATTAAACAACTTTTATACACGAGGGGAGGAGTCAGCCGGCCGTCCGACGATGTAAACATAAACATAAACATACTGAAGATAGGACTCTGAAAGCATCACAGACAGTGGGACTCGGGTGTTACACCCATTGTAGACAGTCATGACTCACAGAGTTATTTTCAGAGGATATACTTGATTTCAATATTTAAGTGTGAAAAATCGAATATAAAGCCTTTAAGGATTTGTCAGCACATTAACATGATCTCAGAGTTCATTATTTACTAACTACTTAAATCAAAAACTTTTAGCCTCTCTCACTGCTGCAGGCCAAAGTCATTTACAGGAAGGTAAATATCCAGCATGAACAGGAGGGATGTATCCGTACACACAGATCAGCTGTGACCTTTCTAAGGTGTTAGAGCACATTCTCTACCTTCCCACCACGAGACTGTGACGCCTTAAAAACCATTTCCTGATCACTTCCTGCTCGTCTGCTACTCATGTTAAAGTTTTATAAGTTCAGTTCCCGGAGCGTCAGTTCCTCACATCTGAAAGGGGCTTTGATTACAGTTAAGAGTCTTGATTTGGGGTTCTGCGGTGTTTACGGTCCGGGGTACTCGAACACAGCAGCAGCTCCCATCCCGGTCCCGATGCACATGGAGACGACGCCGTACGCCCTGCAGCCAACACGGGGTCACAGTTAAACTTCTCTCTGTACACTTTAACATAAAACGACGATGATGAAGACCAACCTCCGTCCTCGGCGTCTGAGCTCGTTGAGCAGCGTCACCACCTGGCGAGCCCCCGTGCAGCCCAGAGGGTGACCCAGAGCGATGGCGCCTCCGTTAGGGTTCACCTTCTCCAGAGGGATCCCCAGCTTCTCCACGCAGTAAACCGCCTGAGCACGCCGGACAGCACGGAGAAACCACACAGCTACTGGTCACTTTTAAAGGCTTTCTGCCAACAGTGTGTTCACATCACCACAAGAAAACATCACAGATTTGGATCCTGTGGGGCGCAGATGGCCTAGCGGTAGGTCGCGCCCCATGTATGGAGGCTTGTATGATCTTGCTGTTTTACTTTGATTGTCTGATAGTTTGTATCCTGCACTGCTCTGTTTATTGTAATGCTTGTTTGGTTTCATTTTGTGTATCTATTCTTATTATGTGCGGCTGTGGCTCAGTGGTAGAGTCAGTTGTCTCTCAACCGGAAGGTCGGGGGTTCGATCCCCAGCTTCCTCCCACAGTCCAAAGACATGCTGGTTAGGTTAACTGCTGACTCTAAATTGTCTGTAGCTGTGAATGTGAGTGTGTCTGGTTGTCTGTCTCTATATGTCAGCTCTGTGATTGGCTGGTGACCAGTCCAGGGTGTAACCCCGCCTCTCACCCAATGACAGCTGGGATTGGCTGCAGTCCTCTGCAACCCAAAAAAAAATCTGTCCACATGAGGTCTGAACTCACCTGACTGGCGAACGCCTCGTTAATCTCAAACACGTCGATGTCGTCCACGGTCAGTCCTGAGAGAAGAGACGGGAGGATTTAAGAAGATAAATATTTAATACCACACCATGACTAAATGCTACATCGAGTGAGCATTCAGCAAAGCATCTGTTTATTCTCCATCACTGTGTCCATCTACGTACACTTATCCAAGAATGCAGCTCTTTGCTACATCGGTAAAAAAAAACTAAACAAACTTAATCTCTAAAAAGAAAAAAACAATTCATTCATCTTGTTTTAAAGGAGCAGTATGTAACTCTGACCCCTAGTGTTTAAAATGGGTACTGCAGTATAAATTCTAAACATTATAGAGAGTGCCCCCCCCCCCTCCTCTCTAGAGTGGATGCTCACTCAGGTCACCATGTGGTGGACTCTGAAGCTTCAGTGTTTATCCAGCTCTGCATGGGTCTGTAAACCTTTCTGTGTTCTAACCTCTCTCCATTTTTCAAAAGCATCTCCAATATTGATCCTAGTTTGAGCACGTTTCTGCTCGTGGAGCTTATTAGAAACATGCAGAGGCTTTTTAGGTCGGGTACAATCACTTCTATCTGAACCACTTCTCTTGACCGCTTCCATCGCTGCAACACCTGTTGACCTGATAACTGCTCTCATACCTGGCAAACTGAGGGGCGTCCAAAACGGCCGTGTGGGGGTGAGTGGAGGAATGAATCCATCAGAAATTGTCTAAAATGTTTTGTTCTGTTTGCTATTTTTGATCATTAAAAACAGGAAATGATCAAATATTGGGCGCCTATGACTTGACTCTTTTGTTGCCGTGGTAACAAAGGTTTGGATATTGTTTGATAATCATATCGAAGTTAAAGTTCTGGTTTCCTGAAAGCTGTTCAGTGTAAAATAAGGCGACAAAAGTCCCCAGATCTGTGATGTGAATCAGAACTTACCGGCCTGCTCCAGAGCGGCGGGGATGGCGTACGCCGGTCCGATCCCCATCACATCAGGAGGGACCCCGACCACCGCGCTCGCCTCAGGACCCCAAGGACAGGAAGACCCAGAGCCTCCACTGCAGACCTGCGACCAATCAGAACGGCCGCTGCTCCGTCGCTCACCTGGCTCGAGTTACCTGAGACAGAATTCATTTGTGTGTGAGTGCAATGCATATGTCGGGGGGCACCAGGGGGGTACAGCAGGGGGAGACACCAGGGGGGGGGCACCAGGGGGAGACACCAGGGGAGACACCAGGGGGAGACACCAGGGGGTACAGCAGGGGGGGACACCAGGGGGGACAGCAGGGGGGGGCACCAGGGGGTACAGCAGGGGGAGACACCAGGGGGGTACAGCAGGGGGGCACCAGGGGGTACAGCAGGGGGGTACAGCAGGGGGAGACACCAGGGGGTACAGCAGGGGGAGACAGCAGGGGGGCACCAGGGGGGGACACAGGGGGGGGCACCAAGGGGGTACAGCAGGGGAGACAGCAGGGGGGGCACCAGGGGGGTACAGCAGGGGGAGACACCAGGGGGGTACAGCAGGGGGGGCAGTAGAGGGTTTATGTGACACTGACCTGCTGTGGTGGTCCCGTCTTCTTTGAAGGCCGGTCTCAGTTTACTGAGTCCTGTCAGAGTCGTCCCCGCTCTGATCCCCTCGTCCTGACGCACGGTCACCTGATGCTCCGTCCCCTTCTCGTCCACACACTGGATGGTGACGGGGACGATCTCCTGCTCGAACACACCCGCACTCTGAGCCCGGAACGCTCTGAACCGCAGCAGGAAGAAAGAATTTCATTTGGAATATTTGTCTGATTTTACCAAAAGTAAACGTTTCTCTTCTGATTTGAGATTCTTTAAAGAGTAAACGTGATTCACTCACTTGAGCTGAGAGCTGAGGGCGAAGGCGTCCTGCTTCTCTCTGGTGACCCCATATCGCTCCGCCACGTTCTCTGATGTGATGCTGCAGAAATACGAACACATGACGAGTCTTTTCTACGATTTCTGTTTCATTAAAGGTCGTAACAAAAGAATGCAGATAAAACTGATCGTGTTCTCACCCCATCGGGATGATGCAGTCTCGAGCTTTCTCGTTGTCCATCAGCCTGGAGCTCACGTCTCCGGGTTTACCGACCGCACGAAGAGACATGCTCTCCACACTGACACACACACACACACACACACACACACACACACACACACACACACACCAAGTTGTCAACATTTTCTGCACTTTGAAAACATTTTAAAATGTGTCTTCTTCTCGACAGGCGGCTGTGGCTCAGTGGTAGAGTCGGTTGTCTCCTAACCAAAAGGTCGGGGGTCCGATGTGTCCTTGGGGGAGACACTGAACCCCGAGTTGCTCCCTCTGCTTCTTTAGCGGTGTGTGAACGGATGAGTTAATACTGATGAATAAACTCACCCGCATGCGAGGCCGAGGTCGATGGCTCTGCTCTGGATGGCTCCTGAAACACAGAGTTACAAACGTTAAAAACACTTTTATTCTTTGAGTTTCAAAAGTGATGGGGGGGCAGAGCGTACCTGCGATGTTAAAGAGCGCCTGCAGGCCGGACGAGCACTGTCTGTTCACCGTGTACGTCGGAACTGTCTCCGGGAAGCCGCTGGACAGGTGAGAGACGGGTGAGAAACACTCAGACTGAAAGAATCAACCAATAATCAATCAATCAACTGAGTCTGACCTGAGGAAGTGAGCCACACGGGCCATCAGAGCCCCCGCCCCGGGCTGCAGGACATTACCTGCAGACAAAAACACAGCAGGACTTCTAGATCATTAAGACCAGCGACAGGAACACAGAAACACAGCGTGGTGTTTTAAAGATGTAAAGAAGTCTCCTCTCACCCACACAAACGTCTCCCAGCTTGTTGGGCGACAGACCCACGTCGCTCATCACTGCTGACATCACGGCGCTCAGCAGCTCGTCAGGCGTCGTGTCCTGAAGGCAAAACTCAGGGTTACATTTTACCCTCCTCGAAAGTGTCTGCTTCACCGACGAAGGCGCACTTCTTTGATTTATCGCTCACTTTTCCTTCAAAATAAAACCGCTACAACCTGCCCACCTGTCAATCAGGTCAGCTACTTATTGTGAAAAGGCTTTTTTTGAACGGGTGTGAATGTGACTTCCTGTGTTTCTGCAGCCAGCCTCTAGTGGACACTCCAGGAACTGCAGGATTTTACACTTCAGCATCGTCTTCATTTTTCCACACCGGAGGGTGCTGCTTGTTATAAACCCCTCTATTTCAGCCCTGCTCAGAACAGGCTGTTTCTGTGTCTGTACCTTTAAATATGTAAATGAACTGTGTATGACCACGCCCCCTCTCTAGAAGTGCTTGGGTGTACTTGGTCTTTCTCGCTCCATGTCCTATTGTTTACGTTGAGAAGGCAGACTCAGAGTCATCACTTTGTGATGTCATGAAGGGAAAATCTCCAAACGGCCTGTTTGAGCACACATTATCTGAAAAGTGGAGCAGGCAGAAGATGGAGAGGATGGACTTTAATCATCATTGGGGGGTTTGGAGACGGACTAGAGACACATGTTAGAGTTAGAGAAACATGGAGAAGAGGATTTTAAATATGTGACCTTTAAAACTCAGAAATAAATGTTGTTATTGCAAAAGTATTCCAAGTGGGTTTATAAATCTGAGTGTCTTTTTTTTATCTCCATGGTAACATCAAAGTGAATGTCGGTGTGTGCAGCTTTTATCTTCCGTTATCTGCAGCTCATAAACTTTATGACACCTGTCAGGTGCACGGAGAGGTCAGAGGTCACGCTCTCACCTTAAACGCTCCTCTCTTCGCCTTCCCGATCGCGGTCCTCCGGCCGTGCACGACCACCACGTCGTCCGGGCTGCTGCTGCTGCCCGCCGGGCTGCTGCTGCCCGCCGAGCCGCTGCTGCCCGCCGAGCCGCACTCAGACCTCCACACATCCCGCCGGAGCTCAGCGGAGCCGCGGGGAGACAAGTGACCCGAGATGACCTTCAATCTGTGCATAGTGTCACCGAAACACCTGAGGGGGGGGGTTCACCTGCGTGGTTTCACGGCGAGGAGTGTTTGGACTCTGAGCTCTGCTGTCAAACTGCTCACTTCCGTGTTTTGACGGAAAGGACGGAAAGAGCGGAGGGACAAACTACAGCGAGATTCTTTTTATTTTTATGGGGGACCTTTTCTCTTCGTTGGTTTTTACTGGCGGTTTGCAGAGACTATGGTTGGCATCCAAAGTCGTTCATTACCGCCAACTACTATAATATGAAAGTTTTACAGAGGAGGGTATTAACATCGACCACCCGAAGTGCCCCCCCCCCTCCTCCTTTTTCAGCAAGTAGTACATCCAGGGGCGCCTATGTGTGTGTGTGTGTGTGTGTGTGTGTGTGTGTGTGTGTGTGTGTGTGTGTGTGTGTGTGTGTGTGTGTGTGTGTGTGTGTGGGGGGGGGCAGCAATAATGACCCATCTGATAGGGACCCTAAAAATGTGAGTGTGTTTGGTTGTCTGTCTCTATATGTCAGCCCTGTGATTGGCTGGCGAACAGTCCAGGGTGTAACCCCGCCTCTCACCCAATGACAGCTGGGATCGGCTCCACACACCTCGACCCCGAACTGCTAAAGGTAACGGATGATAGATCTGTGGTGGTGGGGCCCGATGTGAGATCTTGTCACGGGTCTGGAGTTCCTGGCGCGCCCCCGTGTAAAGTCACCGCTTGTGTTTGAAAGTGATTTTAAAAAATAAACATTAAAAATCAAGAAAGACTCAAACAAATCGACTTTTCACCTTTTTATTAACCAAACCATCTCGCCACAACACGTTCATAAGGCCACCGACTCACTGCACATCCAAAAATACTTTTCTTCAATATAGAATCATATAAAACTTATTTTTTTTTAATCCCCGTCTGTTTTCAAAAAGATCCGATGAAGAGGCTGCAGAGGAGGGTATTAACATCGTATTAACACAGAAACATGGCGGACAGACCTTCAGGTGGATTATGGGTCAAATGTGCGTTCATACCACGCCTTCATCTGCTGGTCTGTTTCTGTCATCGTTTGAATTTAGTGTTTTACAACGGAAGAAGATCTTTAAAAGTGTCTGTTAAAAGTTATATATGTGCAATACGTGAAATAATAAAAAGTATGTTAACATTAATAAAACATATTTTTGCCCCCAGGTGAAGACGATTGTGACCTCAAGTCGGGAACCGAAATCTTTTCAGTTTTTGTTCCGACTTAAGACGGTGTTTATTTGCATTTTACACATCGGAAACTTGTTTTTCCGACGTGTCCGACACCACCTGAATGCACCATAACACCCAGAGTCTGTTGGGGACAAAAACAACTTTTAGTTCACCTTCAGACCACAACAGCCCGTTAAGCTGCTGCAGGCTGAAACCGCCTCCCAGGTTTAGTAAAGTAAACGAAGCAGGAGGAGACGGGAGCTTCAAATACCACAAACCAACATCTGTAAACATCTGTAAACAACTGTAAACATCTGTACGGCATTACAAGACAACTGCAGCGCTTCATGAAGTCGTTCAGTAAGAGCAGTTAAACAACCTTCAGTGATTTAAATAATATCTGAGCGACGTCTCGTCAGGCTTGGGGCTCTAAATGATTCAACAGAAAGAAGAAACAACAACAACAACAGAACAGGAGTTCTTCAGAAACACGTATGGATGTTTGTTTTCATGTGTGCTTACTCAAAGTTGGGCGACCAATCAGCTGGCTGTCAAACATCTTGTTGAGGAAGGAGGTGGAAACACGGCTCTGACAACAACACAGCCAGCGGGACTCGAGCTTCTCCCTCATTGTAGACAGTCAGGACTCAGAGACACATGTCGCACATACTTCCTTTAACGCAGTGTGGTGTTCAGAACCATCGCCCCCTTTAGGACTCATTTTCTCTCGGGGGAGTTTAACCTTTACAGATAAACGATGGGCTACATTTGAGTCTACTAACATGTCAAGGCGAGGTAGGACTGGATGAAGTCGTCTGTCAGCGTTCAAGTGTGACCCCTCCTCCTCCTCAGACATGTTAGTTTTTGTACAAATGACCTCTTTGGCCAGAATATAAGACGACCCTGATTAAACAGGCTGCTATACAAGCTCAAGTCCATCTAACAGCGTGTGTCCCCCCCTCGTCTCCTCCTGGTGTCCCCCCTCTTGTCTCCTCCTGGTGTCTCCCCCTGGTGTCCCCACCTCTTGTCTCCCCCTGGTGTCTCCCCCTAGTGTCCCCACCTCTTGTCTCCCCCTGGTGTCTCCCCCTAGTGTCCCCACCTCTTGTCTCCCCCCGGTGTCTCCCCCTAGTGTCCCCACCTCTTGTCTCCCCCGGTGTCTCCCCCTAGTGTCCCCACCTCTTGTCTCCCCCTGGTGTCCCCACCTCTTGTCTCCCCCTGGTGTCTCCCCCTGGTGTCTCCCTCTTGTCTCCCCCCGGTGTCTCCCCCTGGTGTCTCCCCTCTTGTCTCCTCCTGGTGTCTCCCCCTGGTGTCCCCACCTCTTGTCTCCCCCCGGTGTCTCCCCCTGGTGTCCCACCTCTTGTCTCCCCCTGGTGTCTCCCCCTAGTGTCCCCACCTCTGTTTCCCCCCTGGTGTCTCCCCCTGGTGTCTCCCTCTTGTCTCCCCCGGTGTCTCCCCCTGGTGTCTCCCCTCTTGTCTCCCCCCTGGTGTCTCCTCCTGGTGTCTCCCCCCTGGTGTCTCCCCTCTTGTCTCCCTCCTGGTGTCCCCCCCTGGTGTCTCCCCTGGTGTCCCCCCCTGGTATCTCCCCCTGGTGTCTCCTGTATATTAGCGTTTTAAAATGTGTCAGGGGAAAACTGTGTCTTGCATTCGGGCCAATACGGTGAAATAGCGTTTTAATAAGAACCAAGAGGAACTGAAACACAACAACAACATCAACAACAACAACAACAACAGAGGAGTGAAGGAATGTGAGCTCTTCTTCTTCTACTTCTTGTCTTCATGTTTGAAAGTGTCATCACGGCTCAGTGGTAAATTCAGGAGTCTCTCGTTTCTCAAACAGCTTCCTGAGAACCGGTCTCCACCCTTTCAAAATAAAAGTCTAAATGGCAGTGTTGAAGGAATCTCTGCGGCAGCGTCCCCTCCCCGTCGGGCTCAAGCGTAGAAGATCAGTTCGGGGATCTGCCCCCCCTGCACTCCGGTGCCGTTGGTGCTGTCTGACGAGCACTGGAACTGAAAGGTCACTTTCCCACACTGCACCTCTGTCATGCCCTCCTGGCCAAAGTAGCTGAGCTCATTTCCGTCGAGCACCACGCTCGCCGTGTAGAAGGTGTCGGGCTCGATCTGCACCGGGTAGTCGAAGTACACGGGGAAGGTGCTGCTGGATCCGTCTGAGAAGTACTTGATCATCCTCTGCGCCATCGGCACGCCCTGACGCTTCAGCTCAATCTTGGCGCTGTACTCGGCCGACCCGCAGCTGGAGCCGTAGAGGCCGAAGCCGGCAATGAAGACGCGCTTGTCCACGGCGAACTGGATGCTGTCGCAGCGTCCTCTGTACCGCCACTGGTTGCTCCGGTAGGCGCAGGACTGGAAGCGGTGACAGCGCTGCGGCGAGAGGCCTTTGCGCTGTTTGGTGCAGAACAGCAGGTCGGGTTTGTTGGCGGCGGTGTACCACAGGAAGATGTCGTTGGTCTCGTTCAGTGTGAGCACGCCGGACTGCGCCGCTCCGTTGGCGAAGTCTTCCAGCACCATGGTGGGGATCCGGATCAGGTAGATGGCCTTCCCCAGGACCAGACGCCTGTTCTCGATGGTTGGCGTCAGGTCCTGTCGTTGACACTCCGCCTCGGCCCAGCTCAGCGCCGCCTCGAACACCACCATCTCTTTGGCGTTGAGCGTCTCCCGCCGCAGGATGCTCTCCAGCGTCTGGGCGTCGATGTCGCAGAATCCCTCAGAGCGCAGAGCGAGCTCGCCTGAGCGTCGATCACCTCCCAGCAGCGCTGCGTCAGGTCGGGCTCCTCGAACAGGCAGCTCTGAGACAGCAGCACACACGCGTTCTTGGCGCTCAGACTCGTCTCCAGGAAGTTGACGCAGGCTCGGGCCAGGTGAGGCACGATGTACTTCTTGGCGGCGTAGAGAGTGGCGAGCACGGTGTCGGCACACAGGTCGATCTCATCACAGTAAATGTACCTGAGCAGGTAGAGGGCGGAGTCAGCTTGAGACAAACAACAACGCATGAGAGCTGAATCAATCAGACGGCGACTCACTTCATCATGGCCAGGAACGAAGGAGGCTCCACGTCTGGGATCCGGATCTCCTCCTGATCCTCGGCCAGTTCTCCATAAAACATGGCGTGGAACACGGAGCTGCCGACGGCCAGGACGTACTGGAGGAGGGGGAAAAACATGGACGCCATGAGGGACAAGATCAAGAAAACCTTCAGATCTGACAGCTGTGGTCTGCAGAGACACTGAACACAGTATCCGTCGCACTTCATTTTCAGAACAGAAATGTTTTAGAGATTTTTGATCTTTGAGAGGAGGAACTTCCTGTTTCAGCCTTTTATCTTTTTAGTGAATTATGAGGTTTTTTTCTACCTTGTGTCCTGGACTCGTTGCGTCCCGCCCGGAGGTCCGACCACAAAGTGAACATCTGCCATCGTCTCATTGTTGAACATGACTGAATTCCTGCAAGGACATTATTCTTAAAAAGTTAAAATGTGTCAAAACAACCAAGAAGAAATCATTTAATAATAACACTTTATTTGTATAGCACTTTTCTATACAAGTAACAAAGTGCTTCAGAAATAAAAGCAGAGAGACAATTAAAGCAACAGGCAGAGCGTAACCAAGCAGACAACAAAATCAGACTAATAAAATAAAAAGAAGAAGAATTACCGAAATCACAGCGTAAAAGCATTTTTATAAAAGAATGTTTTGAGTAGGGAAGTAAAACAAGGGACTGAATCTGCACGTCTGATCTCCTCTGGCAGGCTGTTCCACAGTCTGGGGGCTCTGACAGCAAAGTAATTAAAAGAATCGTAAAATCAATTCTAAAATCAACGGGGAGCCAGTGAAGGGATGCTCGGCGTGATATGGCACATTTCTTTGTTCTTGTTAA